GGTTAATATGTTGTGGGGTTGTTAACCAATGTCATAAAACAACATGTGTACTACTGTTTCATGAGAAACTATTTGTTCTGTAAGCCTTCACCTGAAATACAATGAAATATTAAAAAAAAAAAAAGAATATTTGAACAACACTATCAACTAACTCGACTTCATTAACAGTTATAGGTCATTCAACCAAACTACAGCACAATACACATTCTTTTCAAGTACACATGAAACATTCGACCACAAAACAAATCTCAACTGAAATCATACAGAACATGTTCTCTGGCAGTGATTAACTAAGATATCATTAACAGTGGATATCTGGAAAATCCCCAAATATTTGGAAATTAAACAACAGACTTCCACACAGTCATTGGATTAAAGAAGAAACTAAAAGGGAAATTAGAAAATACTTTCAACTGATTAAAATGAAAACATAACATTCCAAAATTTGTGGAATGCTGCTAAATAGTACTTAGAGGGGAATTTATAGTTTTGAAGACTTATATTGTTGGAAAAGAAGGAAGATCTAAAATCAATGCTCTAAGCCTTACAGAACCAGAAACAGAAGAGCAAATAAAACTCAAAGTAAGCAGTAAAAAGGAAATAATAAAGATCAAAGGAGAAGCAAACGACAAAACAGAAAAACAATAGGAAAAAGATCCAAAAGCTGGCTCTTTGGCGGAGGGGGAAGTCAGTAATATTGATTCATTTCTAGCTACAGTGATCAAGATAGAGAGAAGATATAAATTACCAATATCAGGAATGAGAGGACATAACTACTGATTCTACAAAACTCACAGTCTGACCCTATAAGGTACACATTTCTGTACTGTTACACAGACAAACTCCTCAAGGTAACTTCCATCTCATTAGATACTAAATTTCTCCTAGAATTTTCATTTTTTAGAAATATTACAGGCTAAAAAGTCACCTTTGTAGACTCGCTGCTTTTGTAGGCTTCATTATTTGGAGGCCACAAATCCAGGTTTCTAATAAACTTTACTTTAATAATGTTTATGAAAATGGTAGTTGCTTAGTAAATAACCAACATAAGACACCTTTCAGCAAATATCTAGAAACACTGGCACTTACTACATGCCAGGCAATACTATAAGCACTTGCCTGTACTAACGCATTTGACCCTATAATAATTCTACGAAGTAGGTGCTATGATTAACCCCAAATACAAATTATTTCTATCTACACATTTATTATGTACATCCATGCAAGGAACAATGTGTGAATGTGCACATCAAACTGATAATAACGGTTAAGTCTTGGGAGAAAACTGCAATTGGGGTGGGTAGACACGCAGAATTTCCACTTTATAAATTTGTATATGAAAATATTCATTTATTCCTTCTATATTAAACAAGTTCTGAAACAAAAATGTATCAAATATTCTTTTAAAAAAACTAAATTGCACAAGGTAAAGTAGGAAGTAAGGAATAAAATCCGGAGCTTTACTCGCACGTACAGAGGAATACGTGATAAAAGTCCATTTGAGGTGTCCAGAGAAGGAATGCTTTTGGTACTCCTTTGCAAAGTACCAGAATTTCAGAAGATCATAATACCTGGTTGCTTGCCCCAGACCCAGCTCTCCAGGAGTGATTTGGCCCTATATGCAGGCACAGGAGTTTCTTCTTCCTCCTTTTTGTCTTTGTCATTCAAATCTTCTTTCTTTATTCCACTCTGACTATCAACACCATCATCTGTAGAAGTAAAAACAAAAAACACAACATCCATTCCTCATTTTCTTGGTAAACATCCATACCAGAAATGAAATGCTCACAGTGCACCATCCTTCACAACTTGAATATGTAATGACAAAAGGACATGATTACATGAAGCCTAACTGTAACACGTTCACTGTGATTTACCTAAAAAGGCGTGACCCTTTTCATAAAGAAATCAACATATCGCTCAAATTTTCTTTCGAAACGTGTCTTTCAAAATAATATTCTACCAATTTCCTACTATGGCCTACAACTAAAAAACTTAGTCTTTATATTTACCTACTTGGATTACACATTACTTCCTTTTCCAGTGATTCCCGATTGCTTGTGTGCCAATAGGAAAAGTGAGGGAGGAGTATGATTCAAAAGTCATTTTTTTAACTCTATATAATGCCATACTCCACCATCAACTACGATCACTGCTACACAGGGTCAATACCACTGACACAAGTACACAGTACAATTCAGAAGCATTGGGACACTTAGAAAACCATGACTTTAAGCTGTTGACAATTTCAAGTTTCAGCTAAGAACAAATATCATGAAACTCCTTACACAGCAAGAGAAAGAAGAATTAACCTTAACCTTGAAGTTAAAATACGTCCTATCATAACAAGCTCTCATGAAATTAACTGTTTTCTAAATGACATAATTAGAAATATATATCTAAATCTGTGAAAGATTATACCTTATTCAGATTCCAGAAAGTATGAGGTGAGGGAATACTTCTTAAATAAAACCTCAAAACACAAAATGTGACAAACTGATGGATTCAATTATATCAAACCTAAGAATTTCTACTTAACCAAAACTACCATACATAAACTTAATTTTAAAATGTTAAAGTGGAAGAAAACATGTGAAAAACCAAAAAGGAACTAACATATATTCAAAACCTCCTACATGCTATAGGGAAAATATCAGACATCTAACAGAAAAAAATCACCAGAGGGGAAACCCCAATGGCTAATACTTTGAAGAAATACTCAAGACTCATATTTAGAGCAATATATAAATTAAATCAGTGAAATATTACTTTACGCTCATCAAACTGGCAAATCTTAGAAAGCTAGAATATAAACTCGGAGACAGGATTTTTTTCCTTTTTTATCTGGTTTTGTTCCCTGATATATCCCAAGTGTCTAGAACAATGTCTCCCAGGTAGTAATCATTAAACAATCTGTGCAATAAATAATGACAAAAATGGGTAGATATGAGGGATTAGAACTTTTGATAACAGACAGAACAACTAGAAAGAAGATGAGTAACGAAATAGAAGACTTGAACAAAACTACTCAACAACCAGACGTAACAGACATACAGGGAACGCTCCATCCTACAACAGCACAATAGATATTCTTGTGCAGTGAACATGCAACATCCTCCAGGATAGACCAATCTCAGAACACAAAGCAAGTCTCAGTAAGTTTAAAAAGACTGAAATCATACAAAGTATCTTTTCCGATCACAATGGCATCAAGTTAGAAATAACATAAAGAAAACTGGAAAATATACAAATATGTGGAAACTAAGTAACATGCTACTGAAATACCAATAAGTGAAAAGAAATCAAGAGAGAAATTGAAAAATACTTAAAGAGTCAAATAAGAACGAGAATGAAAACACAACATGCCAAAACCTAGAGGATACAGTGAAGACAGTCCTCAGGGAACTCTAAAGTAATAAACCAAACCACTGCCATCTAGTTGATGCCAAATTATAGGACAGAGCAGAACTGTTCCATAGGGTTTCCAAGGCTGTAATCGTTACGGGGGAGCCCCAGTGCCACAGTGATTTACAGCGTTGGAAATTTTATGGGGCAGTTCTGTCCTATAGGGTCACTATGAGTTGGAACTGACTCAATAGCAATGGGTTTGGTTTTTTAGTTTTGTTTTGTTTTGTTTTTTTAATTTTTATGAAAGCAAACTGCCACATCTTTCTCCTATGGAGCAGCTGGTGGGTTCGAATCGCTGATCCTTTGGTTAGCAGCCAAGTGCTTAACCACTGTGCCATCAGGGTTCCTTGTAAACTCATATAAACCAAAAACCAAATCCGTTCCCATCAAGTCAATTCCAACTCATAGCGACCCTATAGGGCTCCACAGGACAGAGAACAATTGCTCAACAGTGTTTCCAAAGCTGTTATCTTTACGGAAGCCACATCTTCTCCCGAGGAGCGTCCGGTGGGTTCAAATGGTTAACCTTTCTGTTAGCAGCTGAGCTTAACCACTGCACCACCTGTGCTCCTTGTAAACGCATATAAACCCAAAAACCAAAGCCGGTGCCGCCAAGTCAATTCCGACTCATAGTGACCCCACAGGACATAGTAGAACTGCCGCGCAGGGTTTCCAAGGAGCACCTTGGTGGGTTCAAACTGCCGACCTTTTGGTTAGCAGCCAAACTCTTAACCACTAAGCTACCAGGGTTTCCGTAAACTCATACAGCACCTCTAAATTAAAAACTACAGATTTGCTTAATTAAATCATAAAAAATTCAGGTTTGGAATCAAGTTATCAACCCTCACCATACATCAAGAGTAGGAGATAAGAAGCACACGCACACATACATTTTTAATGCCAAGCCTGAGTTCCATCAGGTGAGATTCTGATTCAGCTGGTCTACGGTGTGGCCTGGGCACCAGAATTTTTAAGTTACCAGGATTAGGGACAACTGGCATAGAAGACAAAACTTCACTAAGACAACACAAATACAACTGATCAAACTACAATGATAGTTTTAGACAACACTGCCAGTCTTACTGCTAACAAATTAAGGCCACACAGAATAATAAATAATAATAATAATAAACCAAGTGAGAGAAGAGCCAAAGAACTGTGGCACATACTCTGCTTTTTACAGATTACTGATCTTTTCACTAAAAGCTGAGTAATGAAATAAACGCTGCTGAGTTTTTTATTAAGAAAGGGTGTCTATTAATTTCGGGGTTCTGGCTCATAGTGACCCTACATACAACAGAACGAAACACCACCCAGCCCTGCACCATCTTCACAATTGTTGCTATGCTTGAGCCCACTGTTGCAGCCACTATGTCAATCCTTCTCATTGAGGGTCTTCCTCTTTTTCTCCCATCCTCTACTTTACTAAGCATGATGTCTTTCTCCAGGGACTGGTCCCTCTTGATAACATGTCCAAAGTGTATAAGACAAAGTCTCACCATCCTCACTTCTAAAGAGCATTCTGGCTGTACTTCTTTCAATACAGATTTGTTCGTTCTTCACACAATCCATGGTATATTCAATATTCTTCCCCCACACGGTAATTCAGAGGCATCAATTCTTTGGTTTTCCTTATTCATTGTCCAACTTTCACATGCATATGAGGCAACTGAAAATATTATGGCTTGGGTCTGGCACACCTTAGTCCTCAGAGACATCTTTGCTTTTTAACACTTTAAAGAGGTCTTTTGCAGCAGATTTGCCCAATGCAACATGCCATTTTATTTCTTGACTGCTGCTTCCGTGGACGTTGATTATAGATCCAAGTAAAATGAAATTCTTGACAACTTCAATCTTTTCTGTTTATCATGACGTTGCTTACTGCTCCAGTTGTGAGGATTTTTATTTTCTTTATGTTGAGTTGTAATCCATACTGAAGGCTGTAATCTTTGATTTTCATCAGTAACTGCCTGGCGTCCTCTTCACTTTCAGCAAGCAAAGTTGTGCCATCTGCATATCACAGGTTGTTAATGAGTCTTCCTCCAATCCTGATGCCATGTTCTTCTTCATACAGTCCAGTTTCTCAGCTTAGTTGCTGAGCATACAGACTGAATACTGACAGTGAAAGGATACAACCCTGATGCACACCTTTCCTGATTTTAAATCACACAGCATTCCCTTGTTCTATTCAAATGACTGCCTCTTAGTCTATGTTCAGGTTCCTCATGAGCACAATTAAATGTTCCAGAATTCTCAATCTTCACAATATTATCCATAATTTGTTATGATCCACACAGTTGAATGCCTTTACATAGTCAATAAAACAAAGGTAAACATTTCTGTGGTATTCTGTGCTTTCACCAAGCTCCATCTGAAATCAACAATCTCTCTCACTGCTCCTCTAAACCAGGCTTCAATTTCTGGCAGTTCCCTGTCGATGTACTGCTGCAACCATTTTTGAATTATCTTCAGCAAAATTTTACTTGCATGTGATAGTAGTGTTATTCTTCAATAATTTCTGCATTCTGGATCACCTTTCAAATGGGCATAAATATGTATCTCTTCCAGTCAGCTGGCCAGGAGGCTGTCTTCCAAATTTCTTGGTATAGACGAGTGAGCACCTCCAGCGTTGCATCTGTTTGTTGAACTCTCAACTGGTATTCTGTCAATTCCTGGAGCCTTGTTTTTCACCAATGACTTCAGTGCAGCTTGGGCTTCTTTCTTCAATACCATAGGTTCTTGAGCATATGCTACCTTCTGAAATGGCTGAACATTGACCAGTTCTTTTTGGTATAGTGACTGTGTATTCCTTCCACCTTCTTTTAATGCTTCCAGCGTTGTTCAATATTTTGCCTATAGAATCCTTCAATATTGCGACTTGAGGCTTGAATTTTTTTCTTCAGTTCTTTCAGTTTGAGAAATGTCAAGTGTATTCTTCCCTTTTGGTTTCCTAACCCAGGTCTCTGCACATTTCATTATAATACTGTACTTTGTCTTCTCAAGCCACCTTTTGAAATCTTCTGGTCAGCTCTTTTACTTCATCATTTCTTCTATTCACTTTAGGTACTCTACGTTCAAGAGCAAGTTTCAGAGTATCTTCTGACATTCATTTTGATCTTTTCTTTCTTTCCAGCCTTTTAAATGACCTTTTGCTTTCTTCATGTATGATGTCCTTGATGTCATCCCATAACTCGTCTAATCTTCAGTCATTAGTGTTCAATGCATCAGATCTATTCTTAATATGGTCACCAAATGCAGATGAGATATTCTTAAGCGCATATTTTGGCTCTTGTGGACTTGT